TGTCAACTTAAATTATAATAAAATTAAATAAATATTTTTAATAAAAATAAAAATATAATAATTATACATATCCCATGAAAATATATAAAATTTTAAATAATTTTTATACACAAATTGATATTGTGAGATATAAAATTAATATATTTAAGAATACTTTATTAATCATATAATTATTTCTTAGTGTAAAAATTATAAATTTGTAAATTATAAAATAAACACATCATGTAATAACAAGTGAAAGTTAAAACTGATACAAATTGTTGAGAGTATTTAGAACGGATACTATTTTGTAATCACTGATAAATTACATTTTTACTGCTACAAAGACCCTTCATGTGAGAACCGATTCAAAGAAAGACAGGGTTGCTTGGATTCAAGCTTTGGTATCAACCAGGAGCCTCCTTCCGCTGAGACCATTAAACGATAATCTCTCCCTTGTACCCTATGATTTGTCTATATCAACTGATAGGCTCAAGAAACGGTTGCATGAGAAGGGAATCAGTGATAACCGTGTAAAGGATTGTGAGCAGATAGTTCTCGGAGATACAAGGGCAACTTAAAGTTCTTTATGAAGAAATATCTAATTTGCTGAACAAGTTAAGGCAATTAGAGGTAGTGTGAACTTAGTGATCAGTTTGTGTCTTTGAATGAAAATGCTTGATCTTTAGTTATTCACACCTTTTAATAGTTTGAAATCTGAATAGTTTGGTGAGCTAAATTAAATTTCTTCCTTTCTGAATTCGAGTGAAGATCAATTTAGTTAGACTTGGACGAGTATCAAGTTCAACTTAATGAATTTTAATGATATAAGTGTTTTTTTTTAAATCCTATGGTGTTTTGTACTGAGAGGGTGGCAAGCCTCTGGCCGGCTCAGGTTGGTAATTAGCCAACTGGTAGAGTCTTGAATTCGAAGTAAATAATATTTACTTCATGAGATGAACAGCTACCGTTCACAAATGAGATTTCATCTTTTAAATTGTTGATTCTTTTATGAAATTGCATGATACCACATATTTTCTTAATTGACCAATCCTATGCATTATTTTGCTAAGCTGTATTGTTTACGGTCTGGCTCCATCTTACTTCATGCATGAATGTCTGACGCCTATGTTCTGACTATTAAAATTAAATTGTGTTAGCAAAGGAAGGTAGTCTTTGTTGTTGTGTATTGACCCGTAGTCATATCCATGGTGGCACTTTATGAAGAAACTGATTTCATAGTGTTTTAGATATGCATTCTTGAGTAAGAAATATGTTCTCATCATCCGAAGCTTTATTTAACATGAACGGAAGTTTGTTCAGAAGTGCTGCGATAAGTAATTATCTTATTATTAAACTCTGTTTCTGGTTACTAATTACTGTCCTGATCTCTTCTAGCCTGACACTTGTTTGGGTTCTCAGAATGCAGCACAACCGAGTCATCTGATGATATAGAGAAGCAAGAGCTTAAGGAAGTTTCAAATGAAGATGGAACCTTGTTCTTTGATACAAAAGAGTATTTTACTGAACCGACTGTTAGTTGTGGGTCTTTAATAGGGTCAGTTGATCATGCTGATTATCTGAAAGAAACTGAAAATCAATTTGATAATGTGGAAAAGATGGATGCTGATAAAGAAGATTGTCATTCCATATATCCTCAAATTGAGAGAAGAAAAAAACTTCCTGATCTTTGGTCCATGATCAAAGACAATGTGGGAAAGGATCTCACAAAAGTATGTCTCCCTGTTTACTTTAATGAACCAATATCATCCCTTCAGAAATGTTTTGAGGACCTAGAATATTCTTATCTTTTGGACCGACCATACGAGTATGGAAAAGAGGTACGTTATTCATACATTTTTTTCTTTAATATTTTGTGCTTCTTTTGATAAATGCACTGTCTATCTTCGGGTATAACAAATTTGAATATAGTTTTTCGACAATTTGCAACATGGAAGTACATCTAGAATTTGAGAAATTGATTTTCATCATAACTGGGTTTTCTGTACATTCTCAGGGTAACAGTCTCCAGCGGATTCTTAATGTTGCTGCATTTTCTGTTTCCGGGTATGCTTCCTCTGAAGCCGACATTGTAAGCCCTTCAACCCATTACTGGGAGAAACTTATGAAGCAGAATATGCTGACAAAGGAGTTCGTTTCTTCTCTGAGAAGGTCAGTTTTCAGGATTAGCAATGCCTAAATTTCATATCAAGAAATGTGCAGCTTTATATTGAAGCTAAAACTGACAAGCTATGAACTTTTTTATTACAATCAAGTACTTCTGACTTTTCAGCAGTTGGGAGAAGGTCAACTAGATGATTTACTTTTGCATTACCCTTTGGTAACACACAAGTATATATTTAAAAATAAATAAATAAAAGAGAGAGCAAGGAAAGGACTCATCGTCTTCTTCTTCATTATGGATAATCAAGTTGTTGGAAATTATTGCCTTGATAGTGTCTTCAACAACAATTTGAACTATTTATCTGGAACAAAATGTCCATGGACAGTTCTAGGAAGGGAAACTTTCATGTTCAAGCAATTATTGGTTTGGCATTCTCTAGAAAGTGAAAGAAACATTACGAACGTGTTTTTTAAGAACTTCGGAAGATAAACTTGAATTGTACTAGTACTGTAGGCCTTTGGAGTACTTACCTTCCTAAGTTGTTGATTCTATTTATCTGGATGTGGAAGTGCAAATATTGTTCTGCAGTTCCATAGCACATATGACTTACCTTTCAGGTTGAAACAGGTCATTGCCTGTCATTGTGAAGGCAGAGGATGGAAATTCTGGGACGACAGTAACCTCCACACAAAGCTTTGGGGCGGTCAATTCAGCTTGACCCTGTTTGAGTTCTGACCGTAGAGTTTGATGTTGGTGAAATATTTAAGTGCAGCAAGGTGTGCACTACTGGGCTTTGTGTTTACTGGATGCTCCATTTAGATGTTTTAATATACCCGCTTCTCCTTTCTGTTTGTGCGGTATGAATTATTTGGACCTCATTCTTTGCAGGTAACAACTAGTATTTATAATCTTATCCTCGGTAAAGTATATTGCGATCACCATGGTTTGATGCACATTCATGGGAATCGCCAGTATTCATGCAAACTCAAATTCAAAGAGCAATCTATTCTTGACCGGAATCCTCACCAGGTTAGTTGTCAATATAATTGTTTTATCCCCCTTGACTGCTTCATATCCATAGTGCTTCATATCCATAGTAGTCTATCTTCTGTGTCTTAAAAGAGTTATTTTTTGTTGTAATTTCTTATCCTGTCCTTCATTTACTTAGGTCCATGGGTTTGTCAAAGACCTTTCGAGTAGAAAAGTTGCAACATTATTTGGCAAATGGGATGACAGCATGTATTATATCAACGGTGATGGGAATGGCAAACCAAAGGACTGCAGCCCTTCATCAGGCGCCACCTTGCTATGGAAGAGGAACAAGCCACCTCCTAATCTGACTCGCTACAATTTAACATCATTTGCAATAACACTAAATGAACTAACGCCCGGCCTGCAGGTAGAGATGATGTATTACATCATTTCTTCTTATGCATATCTAAATTGTTTTCTAGAGCTTTATATGGTCTCGGGTATTTGATCACGGATTAAGGAGAAGCTCCCACCTACGGATTCAAGGCCTCGACCGGATCAACGCCATTTGGAGAATGGGGAATATGATAGAGCAAATGCAGAGAAACAACGGTTAGAGAGGAGGCAGAGAATAGTATGTTTCCACCTCCATTATTTTCATGTTTCCATGCTAATGCATTCATTTGTTGACAAGGACTCGTTGTAAATGTTTTATTGCCTCCAGAAAAGTCTCCTTGCATGTTTTGTTTTTTGCATCTTGGCTTAAGCATCTACCTACATTTGCAATTTCATTCAAAGTTAATTATATCTGATTTATCTAAATTACCTATATCATATGATATACTGTTAAATTCTATAATATTGCTTCTATTGCTCGATATTCATGCTGTCTATGATCCTACACAGTCGAGAAAACTACAAGAAAATGGGTGGAAGCCTAGATGGTTTGAAAGAGATGGTGAAAATGGATCCTTCCGTTGTGTAGGCGGTTATTGGGAAGCAAGAGCACTGGGAAAACGGGATGACTGCCCGAATATATTTGGTGAATTCGAAAAACTTGTTGATTCCTCTGAATAATGCTGAATTTCACTTTAAGGTTAGTAAATTCGTTTACCATAAACCTGTTGTTTTTCTTGAATATCCATGTTCTAGCTGCCATATCTTTTGCTTCAATGGCTCGGTTTTGTCATTTATATCTGACGATATGCATAAATTCTTTTGATCATTTCTGCAAATTGAGTAGCTTTGATTCTCGATTTCGGTTTCTGCAAAGATTGAAGACAAAAGATTCATTCTGGTCGTCCCAAGAAACAAACCAAGTTAAGAATATGAATCTTAAAGTGAGTAGATATAGCAGGTATAGGTGAGAGCCTTCTCTAATGTGGGGATCGTTTGTGCAATGTAATGTCTCAAGTTCATTTATACTATAGCTCCTTCACCTCAAAATTTAATTTCTTAATTATTTGTATTTTCATTCTATGAAAAATAAATGAATAGAAAAAGGAAAAAGGAAAAAGGGCCTTATTTCTTTCTTTTTGTAGTTAGAGAAAGTGGGTTAATAGATATTTTGCCTTTTGGATTATGCATTCACGAATTAGGTTTGGTCGTGAGAATGAACTATAGGACTAAACCCTGTGTTCTTGTTCTTCCCTTCTGGGAAAATAAAAACAGGTGGTACGGTGGATGATTGGTGGTTGGAGGGTTTGGGCTGCCTCCAAATAATTGCTTACGAATCGGAAAGATTCACATAGAGAATCTCTGAAACAGAGCACAACCGATGCTCCCCAACGACATAGTCATTGAAATGATGGATTGCCACACATATGTAAGGTAGGGTGGCTCATAAAGATTAACTTCAAACTCGATGCTAAGTTGCTAACATCTCATGAACGGGGTCGATCGAATTCAAGTAACGGATACGACGAAAAAGAACTTATTGAGTGGAATTCTTAAATTTATATACAATATTCGGCTGTACACCATATTGTCACCAGGTCTTAATATAACACTAGTGATAACGAAATTCACGGCTCAACAACGAAAATGGTAATGCGAGAGGTAATTCATGGTTACGGTGAAATGAGGGAAAGATAAAAGCAACTTCAGGAATGAATTTACCGAAGGCTACTGAGAAATCTGATCACCGAATGTGTTCTCCCCGCTGTAACTAACGTAAAGAAATCCATCTTCATCCTTCTTCTCTTCGTATATGGCAGACATAATGGCACCTGCAAAAAGAAGAAAAAAAGAGTTCAGCCGACATTGAATCGGATAGGAAAGGTAAAGAATCGAGCACCGATGGATATAAATACAAGGGATTACCAGTTGGAGGGAGGACATTATCCACAAATATGAATATTGCTTTCTCAGCACTCAGTTTGATCCTTTTACGGATGACATATACGAATTGCCCGACAGTTAACTCAGCTGGGACAAGGTACCTGTAAATTTCGGAATCATATTACATGAAGATAATCTTTACTGAAGACTACCCCGGAGATAAACAAGTATTCGATTTCATACGACCAAGACACATTCTGTCGATCAACAAAACCATTGTGTCGAAGATGCAATGCAGCAGAGATGGATAATTCAAAGGAACTACACGCCAGATGTTTTAGCAGAATAGAGCAATGAATCAAGAGAATCTGAAGACCCGAATAAGATATTAGCCACGCTTACTTCTTCTTGTCGATGTTCGGGATATCGCTCCTCTCCTCTTTCTCCACAATCACCTTAAAAATAAAAGAGGATGAAAAACAAGTCAAGCATGGGAAACTTGCAATCACCGACAAATATATTGCAGGCTTATCAAAACAGTACGACTGTAGGAACACAAGCAAAAACGATAGATATCAAGCTCGAAAGTCGAAGTTCAATCGTTACCGGGATCCTATCCGGGTATTTCTCCCTAATCCTAGCAGCCTCTGCCCTCCTCTTCTCTGAAGCCAGAAACACACAGGAAAAACCATTAGCTTCCAAGAATATAAAAAATTGATTCCCCAGTAAATAGCATAATTCACATTGATTTACCATAACTAAAATAGAAATTAAGATGCATATATCTTTACACCATGTTCATAACAAATAAAAAGTTACAGTACATACCCAGATCATGCTCTTGCTTGAAGTAACTCTTTGCCATTCCTACTGAAATTACTAACCAAAAGGTTCTGAAATTAAAGACAAATACAAGCAATCCAAAACCACCCAAATCTTATCCCTGATTGCGCTGTTGTTTCCTTTTGCACAATTGAAGAAAACAAACAATCAGAACAAAAAAGAAAAGCCACAAGTTTCAACTAAAACTCTACTTTCTAATTACCCAGAAAAAAAGAACAGAAGAAAAGAAGTATCAAATATACATGGAAATGATGAAACATACAAGGAAAACCCAGAAAGGTAAACCTAGTGAAGATGAACCCAAAACAAACAAACAAGAAAGATAAAGCTTTTTTCTTTTCTCTTGGTCAAAAGAAATCTTGTGAGGCTTGCTCGTGGCTTGGTTCACAAGATAAAGTATATAATTAATATAGGCAAGCCTTCGTCCATGTATGTATGCCTACTTTGTCAACTTTTTCAGCCGAGTTTTTTATTATTTAAAAATACACATATAGATACTAATTTATTAAGTTCATTAAATATTAAAAATTATAAAATAATAGTCTTATTACACGACGTTGTTTTGTTGAGTTCTTGATTATTAATAATTATAAAATGATCATTTGATTATTCATATGTTCCAAATTTATTTTTTTTCGTTAGAAAATTAACATCCATCTGAGCAGAAAGTTAACATACTGGCTGAGATGATAAAATATGATTTCATAATTATTTGAGTTGTATTCTATGGATCGAGTCTCTATTTATTTTATATGGTCGGGTTAGTACTTGAAACATCATGTCATCGAGCCAATTCTTGAAAGCAACGACGGTGCTAGTAGAGATAATCGAAATATGATTTTACCGTATCTTATTCAGTAGGTTAACGTCCAGCTTAGACATTCTTCAAATTTTTATGAAAAATGACAGATTTGGAACATATGAATAGTTGCGTGACCGTTTTGTAACTTTGAATAGTCAGGGACATAATAAACCAGCTCCCTATAGTCGTGGAACCATTTTATAACATTTAATAATTGGGAATTCAACAAACTAATGTCATATAGTTGAGGAACTATTTGTGTACTTTATCCCTTTTTTGGGTAAACTACCTATTTGATAGCTCATCTATAATTTAATTTCTATTTTTATTATACACCATTAAAAAATTAATAATAGTGTTGATTTGTCACCATAAGATAATATCACATCAATATTAAAAAGGGTAATCTAGTCAAATACCACTCATCTTTATGCTCGGGATCGAAAATGCTACTGACGTTTCAATTTTGCCAATTTTAGCACGGACGTTTATGTTTCACTGTAATTTTACCACTCCGCCGTTAATATGTTAACGGGACGATGACATGACAATTTTATTCCGTGATGGCGATGACATGACACCCTCATCAAAACGACGTCGTTTTGGCATGACCGTTTTGATGCTCAAAAAACTCAAAACGACGTCGTTTTGTTGATGAAATTTTATTCCTACCATAAAACACTAAACACAACGAAATTTACCATTTTCACACTACTAAAACACAAAATATAAAGAAAAAGAAGTCTCTCTTGGTGTTTATATGTTGAAAATTTTCACTTTGCAAGCCAACACTCATCGTATTGTTGTTCCTCCACCATCGTTATCGGATAATCATTCGACGCCGAATTCTCATATCTCCAAGACCCACCTTCAGACAAACTCGGTGACAGCCAGTCGTTGCTTAAACTGTCACTCAAAACCGTCGGCGATAACGATGAGACGACGAACACGGTTCACTTAACTTCAGGGGAGGAAGTAGAAGCAGCAGCAGCATCAGTGCTATTGGAGTTGACCTTCTTGGATTTCTTTTTAGCTCTCTCTCTTTTCAGCTTTTCATAAATGGCCTGAATCTTAGAATCCACAGCGTTCTTCAAAGCATTCAATCGAGCACCGTCCCTACCCACATAAGCTTATAAACAGCTTTTCAAAACCCAGTTTACTTAGATCCTTGAGGTTTTGAAAATTCAACCTCGCGTATTTCCCTCTAAGCTTATAAGCAGCACGATCGCACGCATAAGCGGCGAGTTCAACTGTTTCGTAAGTCCCTACCCACACCCGCATTCTGTTCTGCGGGAGTCTAATTTCGGCCACCCATTTCCCCCACTGTCTTTGCCTCACCCCTCTGTATTGCTTCTTCTTTTGAGGAGTCGAGTAGTTGCTCGTCGACACCGAAAAAGGAAAATGAATTGTTCTGTTGGCTGAACTTTTGAAGCATGTCTCGCTGGCGGAGATAGACTGAAGAGCCTAATGGCTCGGTGGTGATGGTCGTGGATGGTGCGCAATGAGAGAAGATTGAATCTAGATAATGAGGGTGACGGTGGTAGTGATGAACATTTATAATAGTTTTGTCAAGATTACACCAAGTGCTTAAGTTAGCTGAGCGGTTGGGTATTTAGTTTTGTAGTTTAAAGGTCTACGGTTCGAATCCCATGAAAAATATTTTTTCATCAACAAAGCGACGTCGTTTTGAGCTTTTTGAGCATCAAAACGGTCGTGCCAAAACGACGTTGTTTTGATGAGGGTGTTATGTCATCGCCGTCACGAAATAAAATTGCCATGTCATCGTCCCGTTAACGGATTAACGGCGAAGTGGCAAAATTGCTGTGAAACATAAACGTCCGTGCTAAAATTGACAAAATTGAAACGTCAGTGCCATTTTCGATCCCGAGTATAAAGATGAGTGATATTTGATATAGATTACCCTATTAAAAATTATTAAAATATCACGTCAACATTATCATTAAGTATTTAGTGGTGAATGATTAAAACAGAATCAAAACGTAACGTTAACTATGATTTTAAAAAAATAGTTAGATGACTAAAATAGAAGTTAAGTAATCGTTGGGTGATCGAATAGATAGTTTACTTTTATTTTTTTAATTAATGATTTTTGAAAGATTTTAGAAATAGTTTTGGGAAGGGGCCGAATTTGTAATTACAAATGAATCGATATTAATGGTTTCTGTTGGGCATTATCCTGGTTGATTACGACAGATAATCTTCATGTGTTGACTTTTCTTTTGGATGAGGCTGAAAAGTATGTGAATCCGACGGCTAGTCATGTGATGATGATCATGGTACATTGTCAAATAAAGTGTGGGCTTCCACCGGAAAAATTAGAACAGTATGCCTCCATGTATGATTTTTTTTATAACTATTGTATTCGATTTATTGATTAACAAATGAATGAATTAATTATAACTTATTTTATAACAAATATTTATAATATATTAGTATAAAAGATAGGTTATTATTACTAGGTAATTTACATAGATATGTAGTTTATAGAATTGTCATGAGCAAACAATTTATATTAAGATTAGAATATCATCTAAAGTTTGAAGAATAACTAATTTATATCGATTAATTCACCGACTATTTTAACCCCCAAAATACTTTAAAACACCTAAATATTTCATGTAAAAATACTTCCTGAAATATGAATTGAATTGTTATATGATAAATAATTCTCGAAAATGATCGACGTAAACGAGTACATTCAATTACATTATCACAATTCCCTCTTGTTAGTGACATAATCTTCAACGGCCTCGTGACTGGTGAGAATTTGCTTTTCCATTCGCTGCGCTTTAGATACTGTATCACTTGGAATTCATGTCATGACACTAATGTCTAAACATTTAATCAATATAGGGAAAATGCTGTAAGTCTACGTGCGAGGTGACTGACATTAGGGATCTTTTGATTTGCCACTACTGCTTCGATAAGGCATTCGACAAGTTTTATGATATGTTCACGGCAACTTGGTATGTTATCTATACCACTTATTCGATCCTTTTTGCGACTTTTAATTTACTTTGTAATTGGTTGAAAGCACTGCTTGACGTTGCCTGATCACGGGAAATGAGCTGGACTTTCAATCATTTGGGGTTCTATTTGTTGTGAAGATCACTTTGCCTGGTATGTGTCGTAATCACTACAGCAAAAGTGTTCTGTAGCGGCGTTTTCAGCGGCGTTTTATGATAAAACGCCACAAAAATATTACATATAGCAGCGTTTTCATTTCAAACGCCACAAATTGAGACTTTTGCGGCGTTTTTTGTGAAAACGCTGCAAAATAGTATAAATATAGCGGCGTTTTTGTGAAAAACGCCGCCATAGGATGGTATATAGTGGCGTTTTTTCAACAAACGCCGCAATTAATAATAGTTTTTGCATCGTTTTTAGACAAACGCCACAGAAAGGTTAAACAATAACGGCGTTTATAGTAAAAACGCCGCAATATAGTAGACATTTAGCGGCGTTTTAGCTAAAACGCCGTAATATAGTGTAATATAGCGACGTTTATTGTATAAACGCCGCAAAAAACATGTGATATAGTGGCATTTTGTAAAAACGCCGCAAAATGTTAAATATATTATCCTCCATTTTCTCCCACCCAAACCCTAAAATCATTTCAACTCTTCTTCCCTCACAGTTTCTTCTCTGGTACAACAACAACCCTCACACGATTCCAAGCGACATCGTCTTTTGTCTATCCTGGCGACCAAATCGGTCCTCTCACCGACGAACTATAACACAATTCCACGGTTTGATCCCTCTTATCTTAGCTCCTGATCTTTTTCAATTTTGTTTTGGTTGGTATTCTGAAAATGGGGAAAACCCAGAAAACTAACATATTTGAGAAAAAAAGAGCAGGTCTTGCCTTGAGTAAGAGAAATTATCGTCGGAATGTCTACGTGGCGTCTTTGCTCTGACGATGGATCAAATTATCGCTGGGAGGCTATCGGTCCGGTTTCGCCGTCGAAACTCGATGGTAAAATTCTATGAATCTTTATGCCGCTATATTTCCTTTTTTGTACGGTCACTCAAATTTCATAGATCGTACGCATGTAGGATCTTCGAAGCTTATTGAGAATGATGATAGAGAAATGGAAAAATACCCTATGTTTAGAACCGAATTTGGTAACTCTGTGGCGTTGAAAGAATCTTCAATTGCAAAAGCAGTATCGATCCTCAATGAAGACGATGTTGCCTCTACTGTTACTCCAAGTAAACATTTATATCATCTATTTAAATATATTTTAATGTTTGATTCAATTCCCAAGCACCTCTAATCAAGTTTTATACTGTAGGTGGAGGGTCGTTATCTGTTTCAAGTGAAGCACTGAAGCGCGCAAGGAGTCTTCTTGGTGAACCGGAGGTAGGAGATTTATTTGGTGAAATGGATGAAGAGTTTCTCCATATAGAATTTACACGGAGGAAAAACTTAACGATGCGTCGTCAAACAAGGAAAACAACTTTCCTACGTCTTTTCCCCACGAAAGAGCAATGAAGACTAAATTGTACTGAACAATATGGTGAAGACTGTTTATGCATAAGTACTTTAATGTTTCTAAATTATAATGTATTTTGTTTTTAAGTAGTTTTATGCATA